TAAGTGAGTAAACTGGGACCAAAAAAAAAAAAAAAAGAAAAAAAGAAAGAAAGAAAGAACGAGACCTTGTAAAGGCTCAGTCCCCATGTGCTGTTTTTTGGGAGGGAGGGTGGATTCTGCTCATGGAATGTGAGTTTGAAAACTACTGCCTGGTACTTCTCTGTGTCTACATACAAATTCCTATTGTTTTGGGAATCAGGTGCCACCATGTCCATGGGGACTGCTGAAAGGACAGGGTGGGGGGCAGAGCTGTGCCCTAAGCAGCAGGGGCACTGAACTCTGGGTCTGTGGAGCCCTGGGGGGACACATGGGCTGGCCTCTGGGATCTACAGTCTGCTCAGGTATATGCAAAATTCTGGGGGCTGTGTGATCTAGGGAGGAGAGGGCCTTAGCTTTCCTCAGATTTCCAGAGGGTTCCATGTCCCCAACACATGAACTACAATCACAAATCACCATTGTCCTAGAAACTGCCATGTATCAAGGGCTGTTCCTATGCTAGGAGCATGGGGGTAACGAGCTCACCTACCTGAAAGGGCTGTTGGGACAATGGAGGGAGAGGACAGCTGGGCAGCACTGAGCCAGGCACTTGGCACCTGGTGGACCCCGACAGGCTCTTGCTGTATTTTGTCATCTTCAGCAGTACTACCCATGGTTATCCCTTGCACTGCCTCATTAGTACTACAAAAACTTTATGAGCTGTATTATCAACCCCATTTTCAGAAACAGGAAATAGAGCCTTCAAAAGGTTAAATAATGAGCTCAAGGCCACAGGACAGCAGAGGAGGAACTTGAACTTGGCCTGCATGGTTCTCAAGACCAGTTGGCCCTCCATCTAGACACTCTATGGGAAGGGAGTGCCTGAGTGGCTCAGTCGGTTAAGCACAGGACTCTTAGTTTCAGCTTAGGTCACAATCTCAGGGTCATGAGATTGAGCCCCACATCGGACTCCTTACTCAGCACAGAGACGGCTTGGGATTCTTTTGCCCTTCCCCTCTCCCCTTCTGCTCCTCCCCCTTGCTTGTGCAGTCTCTCTCTAAAAATAAATAAATAACATCTTTGAAATAAATAAATAAAAAGTAGAAGCACCAAGAGAAGAAGGCAGAGCACTTGGAGAGCTCAGGAGGTGGCTGCACTAGGAGGCCCCAGATGACCCTGGGCCGGAGATCAGCAACCAAAGGGATAAACAGGCCTGGGGCTTTCCGTTGAAAGGGCCAGCAGGCCTTGCTAACTTTGCACCTCTCCTCATCCACAACAGAAAGCTAAGCCCTGTAAGATAATAATGATTAAAAAAGAAAACCACCCCCTGAAGCAGACATTCCTAGGCCCCAAAGTGAGGCTCTGTCTTGGAGCCCAGGGGTTCCAGGAGAGGCAGTGCCCTCGGGCCAGGCTCCAGGCAGTTTCTCCTCCCAAACTAAGTAACTCTGCTGAACACAGCACTTGAAAGCCAAAAAGATGCCCCTGGGTTGCCATGGCAATGCTAAACAGACAAAACATTTTAACCAGCTCTGACGCACACACACAAAACTTATTTAAGGGCCAAAGGGACGGCCTGGTGGGTGAGAGGCAGGCAGGAGCGTTTCTACAGCTCCGTCTCCAAGGACATGGCCCCCGGAGGGGCTAGGTCAGCCCAAAACTGCCCAAAGGACTCCCTCAACACAAGCTGAGGCCAGCCTGCTAGGGAGAGGCAAGTCCCTGCCATGCCTCCCTGCCTTGTGCCCACCATCAAGGTCATATCCTAGGAGGGCCACCAGCAGGTTACAGTATATGCTGATGGTTCTGGTTTTGTCTCGCCCTGGGGACAGCTTTCCACCACGTGGCACTGCAGTCTCTTCACCAGAATTGGGGGAGCATTATGCAGGCCCATAGCAGAGTCCAGAGGGTGGGGTGTGCCCACAAGCATGAACGGGTGCACAAACCTTCTGGCACTGTGCGGCTATAGGTCAGAGCAAACAATAAACTCAGGAACTACCATTTCCCACCAGGTAGCATTTTCAGTTCCCAGATCCCATGACTGAACGTCCCTCTCCAGGGCTGGATGACCGTGAGTATTTTCCTTCAAACATACTTCACTCCAGGACCCAGTGGGGGGTTGCTCCCCAAAATGTGGCGATTTGGGGAGTGACGATGAATGCAGGAGGCTTGTCCCAGACCTGAAGACTGCCATGGCTATGGGGTCTGCTGCATTCTGGACTCTTCCATGCCTCACTCCTCACTGGAGGAGAGGAGTCTCCCTAGATACAGCTTAGGGCCCTTGGGTAGGATCATAAGCAAATGCTGCAAAACCTTCCTTTGCAGGGTCCCTGACAAGCTTTAGTAAAGATATGCTCCAGGAATGTGAATCCTCGTCCACCCGTCATTCCCTTGGGGTGAACCCTCTTGCCTTTCAGACTCACTCCCTAGAAGTTACTCTTGACCCTCCCTCGTTCTCAGATGCAATGGGCCCCCACTGTGTCATGTACACAGAGGTCTGTGCAAATGGCAGCACTGTTATTCTCTGCTCTCCTGTCCACTCATCACGGAGCTCCTGGAGGGCAGGGACCCCATCTCGTTCACCTGAGCATTCACATGGCCGACCCCAGTGGCTGGCAATGGTCAGCACTCTGCAAAGTTTTGCTGATCTGCAGGTCAAAGGGACAACACCATACTTATTGCGTCTGTGCATCGGTGCCCCTGGGATAGAGAGATGCCAGAGCTATCTGCTCTCACTTCCCCAGCCTCTTGGAAAAGAACATTTGAAGTAGAGCCTGGAGTGCAGGAATTTGAGACCTGAGCTACTGGGCAGCCTGGTGGGTCAGGCGAGGTTCCGTCTTTTTCTTTTCTTTTTTTTTCCAAAGATTTTATTTATTTATTTGACAGAGAGATCACAAGCAGGCAGACAGGCAAGCAGAGAGGGGGAAGCAGGCTCCCCACTGAGCAGACAGCCTGATGCGGGGCTTCATCCCAGGACCCTAAGATCATGACCTGAGCCGAGGGCAGAGGCTTAACCCACTGAGCCACCCAGGCGCCCCAGGTGAGGTTCCGTCTTATGGACCCGTCACAGTTTGCATCGCGGGGCTAATAACAATAGCCCTGTTGTCTTTACCATCTTTCTCCTTTGCTGCAGAATGGAATGACTGTGGTGGAGGTTTTCCCATTTTCCTGGCCTCACATCCTGGACATTGAACTATTCTCTGCTATGTTTACCAGACCATGTCTGCCTCCCCACCCCTAGCTGGAACTAATTATCACAGACAATTATAGGATTTTATATTCCTGTGCTCTAAAAAAAAAAACAAAAAACAAAAAACAAAACAAAACAAAAACCCCCACACAAACCCACAGGCCATTAAAAAGAAAGAGGAAAACAATACTTTCACAGTTGAAAGAGTTAGAGAAACCACAAAATTACATTGGTGTCATGGTAGCATTTATAAATAACACTTGGCATCTAGAACTAAATTTGCACCAAAGAATCTGAGATGGCGGTATTATTTTATAATCTTGGAAAGTGGGCTTTCACACCTCCAACAGGAAGTGCGGAAAATACAAAAGTGCCAAAGAGAATAAAAGGTTCATTACCTTCAAATGTCAGGTCTACATACGCATTATAACGGGCTGGGACAAATGCATTTGTATCTACCCCGGGGGAATGACTGTATCTCTTTCATGTGAAGATATGACTGCATGTGTAAAATGCTTGCACTAAATTAAGTCTTCTATCTTCCAAATTTTCTCAATTATTAATACACTAGACAGCTGCGGTAGCTCTAGCAAAAATAGCAGCCCAGCTTTTCCAGAAGTCAAAGCAGCCATGAGATGTCTGTATGGGACTTTCCTACATAAGGAGGGGTTGCTCTCTGGATCAAACAAAAAGAAACAAAATCCCCGTGAAATGACAAAAAAAAAAAAAAAAAGAGAGAGAGAGAAACTTGTTTCACTCTGTAAACTGAAGGAGGACTCCCCACCACCCACCCTCTCCTCTTTGGGATAAAAAATGTGTTTTTATGCATGCAAAGGAAAGTGTGCTGAAAAGGTGATCTGTCCAACTCACGAGGATAACAAATACTTGGGAAAATTGAAAGGGAAACCCAAGGAATGCCAATCACTTTGTTATATTCCAGAATGACAGTATCCAATTGTGTCAACTCAAAGGGAGTGGGGGAGGTCAGAAAAAACGGATTATGCCTTTTTCTTAGGTTTCTAGAAGCAGATTAATGTCCTGCAAAAATAGAAAGTTGTCCTTAAATTGCCACCTTCGTATTTTAAGCAGGTAGGAGTAGCATCATCTTAACAGTCTGATATATATGTACTTGGCGTAAAGACTGTTTGAAAAGCCTTTTGAAAGGAAAAAATCAGGTTCTCAGAGCATTGCAATTTCATGTTTTCTGAACTCAGTAGTGATCATGAATTTTAATTCAAAGTTTATTTACAGGACATATAACAAGAACAGATGTTCAAAGATACATTAAAAAAAAAGCTTTAATATCAGAGCTTAAGCATATGATACCAGAGAACATATAACTTGTCAAGGTTAAGAATGGTCTGGATATGATTATACATTTCACATCTGCTGTCACCACTGTGCTTTCACATCATTCTAACCTTTAAAGGCAATCAGACCACATGCCCTGATTTCTGAGCAAGATACCATGACCCCATCTGTGCCTCAGTACCACATACAGAGATTGTTGTATGCCTCTGAGAAAGCAGAATGAGTCACAATGGTCCAAATTCTCAACAAGTGTGTATTTCCACCAGGTCTGCATAATTTGTTTCTGAAAGAAAGGGCAGTATATCATGTTCCCTGTCTCACCATCTACGTAAAAATCTCGGCCACTTTTTAGTAAATGCCAACAAATTTCAGAGAAGCCGACCGCAGCTACTAGGAAATAGCTGTTAGTTTATTAATATAATCCCCTAGGGGAAAGTTTCTGGTGGGAATGTTCTCAAGACGGTCAATACCATTGAGAGGCAGGGCTTCCTCCTCTCACACAAATACTCGCCAGCCATGTATCACTCACCATTTGCGATCTGTTCTTCGGACAGCCATTGATGTCTTCAATCTTCTCATTTGCTGAAATAGGAAACACAAGTCAGAAAAATAAACAATCACCCCAGATACTTTGAGTAGTGATGTTCAGGACCCTTGAGGCCAACCACGTCCTAAGGCCCATCCTGGGGCCTGTCCAATCAGCGCAGCCATGAGAAATGCTGAGACGCAGCTCAAAAGCTTCGGGACTTACTCATCGAGCTGCTGTCCTCCGGGGACAGCTGGGGCAAGGTCGTCAGCATCCAAAGCAGAGACAACTGCACTGATGACAGTCTTGGAGCGATGGGGCATCACAGAAACATGTGGGGACTGAGAAATAGACTGGACTGTGATTACGCTTTGGGCTCTTCGAAAGGCGACTGTGATCTCCCCACAGAAGGTGGGATGGCTCAGAGTGGATTGGTCCAGCTTTAGCCCCACTCGGGACAAAAGGCATGGATGATAGCATCTCACCTCATCTTTTCTTAATTTTTTTTTTAACTTTAGTTCCCGTGTAGTTAATGTACAGTGTTATATTAGAGTCAGGTGTACAATATAGTGATTCAACACGTGTGCTCAACACCCAGTGGTCATCACCAGTGCCCTCCTTAGTCCCCATCACCTATTTCCGACCATGTCCCTCCCCCTTGGCTATTGTAAATAATGCTGCCATGAACAGCGGTGTGCGTATCCCTTTGAATTTGTGTTTTTGTATACTTTGTGTAAATATCCAGTAATGGAATTACTAGATCATATGGTAATTCGACTTCTAATTATTTGGGGCACCTCCATATTGTTTTCCACAGTGGCTGCACCAGTCTGCATTCCCACCAACAGTCACAAGCATTCCTCTTTCTCTACATCCTCGCCAACACTTATTTCTGGTGTTTTTGATATTAGCCACTCTGACAGGTGAGAGATGATCTCACTGTGGTTTTGATTTGCATTTTTCCGATGAGTTGAGCATCATTTCATGCATCTGTTAACTGTCTCACCTCATCTTTAGTCAGAAATGTTAATATTGCTTAATACTGATAGGATTACTAATAATCCTATTCCCAATATGGTAACACGGATAGAAAATGGGAGCGTGAGACTTAAAAGTGGCTCTTCCAAGACCATATGGTAAGTCCAAATTAGATCTGAAACACACTCTTGGAGTCATAATAGCACCTAGCTCCTTGGAGAAGTAAGAGAAAGACGTTGTGTTGAATTAACTGGAAATCAATACCAGTGATATGGAAGAAAGGCCCAGGTTCTGATGCTGAAGTATGGAGGAATCCCAGCAAGACACAGCCCAAGTTATCTACAGGGGGGGTGGGAGGGGTTGAGTTTGCCACAGCAGCAGCACAGAAACACAATATATGTAGAGATTAGGGCACTGGCTTCGGAGGCAAAGATACTGCAGATTCTCAGCTCTGTAGATTCTCAGCTCTACAGCTTCTTAGCTGTGTGATCTTAGCCATATCACTCAAACTCTCTGGGCCACAGTTTCCTCATCTATAAGATGGAGCTAATACTACCTACTTTAGGGGACGCATTGTGGGAAATAGATTGCAGGATGGCAATAAATTGCTTCGTGCTGTGCCTAGCACACAGTGAGCGTTCTATAAATGGCAGCTCTCATTAACCCAGTAATGTGTATCATCAATGTAAATTACATACAATGTTAATCTCCTTTCTGATGTCTCCATCAGAGTTAAGCCCAGAAACTCAGCTAGCAGTCCACAGTCAAGAACTAAGGATCTGCCTCCTCTGTGAAGCCTTTCTAAGCTTCTTTCCCAGTCCGCTGTCCTTCTAGCTCCAGCCCCAGCCCTGGATGGAGAAAGCAACTTCAGGTCTCTGGTCTGCCCAGCTGTGCTGTTTATAGTCTGGCAGGCATGCAGATTTGGATTTTCACATTTGTGTCCTCAAGGCTCAAGCAGGGCTTACAAAACTGAATTTAAGACAAAAAACAAAAAAAAAACCCTTTCATCAGATTTTAATGAATTCGATGCCAAAAACTTCCATGAAAAGATATTAAAAACCAACTGAAAAGGATAATAGAATCAAAGTGTCCCAAGCCTCTATTTTACAACACCAGAGTCTAAGTATTCCACACCATTACCTCAACTGGGCTTATTTTTTTCTCTAGTGTTTCTCCCTTGAGAGAGAAGAGAGAAATAAGACACAAGCTAGTGGTAAGAAATTGTTTAAAAATCCAATCACCATGAGACAGTCTAGTCAGTATACATTCAGTCTAATCTACACCTTTAGAATTTGCCCGGAGTAATAGACACTCAGCCTTATGCCTCACCTTGGAAGATGTCAGTCTTCAGAGATCCAACTCTTAAGAACACTAGGATAAACATTGTAGGAAGCCTTTTCAACCTGCTTCCCTTACTCCCAAAAGAGGTGGCACGGAGCCTTTAAAAAACACATTAAAAAAAGGCCCTGTGGATGAGATGACCCATGGATATTTGTTCTTCGGTTCACTAGAAAATACCAGAATTGTAATCGGCCGGAATAGACCACTATTATAGCATGTGAACTCCAGACCAAGCTTTACCACTCACTCTTTCCAACTGTAATCCCAGAGCTGAGGATTGTGCCTGACACACAGTAGCCCCTCAAATATTTGTTGAGAGGAACTAAGGAATGAGTAGCCTGAACATTTCCAAGAATCGAGGTTTTAGGCCTATTTTGAGGCAGTTGTCCTTTCACTTGTCAAAACAGACATACATACTGAAGATGGAAAAAAAAAGATCCTTGACAAATGGCACTTCTTCAAACAAGGGAGATGATGTCAGGCCTGCACTCGGGCCTCGGGTTTTCATATACAACATCGGAAAAATAAATAGGCAGCTTTTGAGAATCCGGGCCGCTCAAGGTATCCTCCAGCTGGATGCTCATGACGGCCAAAGTCATAAGTCATTAGGTTCCGATCAAGACCCAATGCAGCATGAGGTCATCAGTGCCCATTAAAGTGAAGGATGGATAACTGCGATCCTAAGAAATCACTTTAACGATTCTTTATATACCATCTGGATAAAAACAAAAACAAAAAACCCCAAAGGCTTTGGTCTCATCATATCTCTACTTCCTTCTCATGGTCAGTCACCAAACCCCAGTCAGGTACTGCCTCAATTCAAGTATCGCAGCTCCCATAAGCTTCTTGCCATTTTACAACATTCGAAATAAATCAGTGGAGTGGAGTCCATGGGAGACTACTCTAAAGATATCCGGGAAGAGATCGATCAAATGCCGAAACCCCAACGCAAATGCTTAATAAAAATGCAAGACAAATCTTGAACCTCCTCGTTTCCAATTTCATGTAATTTAAATACTTCTCCTTTCCTTAAATTCTCAAGAATTTCTATGGCTGTCATAAATACTTAGAGCAGTAACAGAGGCTCTGATTCTGCTGGTAAGAAGGAAGAAGAGTTTGGTCTTTCGAACTGAATTTATTAACTTGTGGTAGGGGGTCTTTGGCTGCAAACCAAAAACAGATAACCAAAGAAGCAAAGGCATTTGTCCCCAAAGTCCTCAGCTATGATTAAAACTGGCATCCCTAAGCGCCCGTGCTAATTTATTTATTCCAGCATGTTCAAGACATTCTCAGCGAACGAATGCAGTAACCTGCCTGCGCATGAGGTAACAAGTCAGTAATTGGAAAGCTTTTTAAGGAAGAAGAGTGGCACCAAGTTCATTGCTTTCCAAAGGACTTCTTTCAAAGGGCTGAGAGCATTTCTGCAGCCCATGCGTCTCGGCATAGGGCAGTTGACAGATCTGCCAACAGGAAGAGAGAGAAACTGGCTACCCAGAAAGGCAGAGGACTTACCCAAAGACACACAATGGTAATAGGTCATCAATGGAAAGAGGGTTGAATTCCTGGTTACGCTCAGCGGTAGCCTCAACGGTGGTAGAAAAGGAGCTGCTACTAACTCTTTCCACCTCTAACAGGAAAGCTCTTCCCCTGTCCTCCGTCTTTGCTTCCTCCTTCTCTCCAGTCCTCTTTTGTTCATCATTCCATCCTTCTCTCTATTCTTTCCTCCCTGCCTCCCACCCCTTCTCTCCTTCCAACCCCTTCTGGCATTCTCCTGAGTGACAGCAATGTAAGCAGGAGGAGGGAGGCCTGTCTCTCCCTCTTGATTCATGCTGTTTATCCTGGCCTCGTAAGCCTTTCTAATAACTCATGGCGATGGCACTGTGATGGGCTGGCAGGCAACTGCCGGCTTTGGGCAGCTCATGATTCAAGAAGATAATCACACTAATAAAAGGTTGAATGGAGACTGGATACTTGGTCACAGAAGGCAGCAGCGAAAGGTTCATTTCTGCCCAACAGGCAGAAGGCAATGGTAGAAAAGTGTGGGCCCCAAATCATCCCACTATCTGAGAAGCGCAACTCCTGGGACAGACACACAGTCTCCAGAATTGATCTCTCTGGGATAGATGAAGACTCTGGAGCTAGGGTCTATGCATAACACTTAAGGTTTTCCCAGTCAACAAAACCAAAAGACAACCAACCAACAGAATGGGAGAAGATATTTGCAAACAACATATCAGATAAAGGGCTAGTATCCAAAATCTATAAAGAACTTATCAAACTCAACACCCAAAGAACAAATAATCCGATCAAGAAATGGGCAGAAGATATGAACAGACATTTCTCCAAAGAAGACATACAAATGGCCAACAGACACGTGAAAAAAATGCTCAACATCAGGGAAATACAAATCAAAACCACAGTGAGATACCACCTCACACCAGTCAGAAAGGCTAAAATTAACCAGTCAGGAAACGACAGGTGTTGGTGAGGAGGTGGAGAAAGGGGAACCCTCCTACACTGTTGGTGGGAATGCAAGCTGGTGTAGCCACTCTGGAAAACAGTATGACGGTTCCTCAAAAAGTTAAAAATAGAGCTACCCTATGACCCAGCATTGCACTACTGAGTATTTACCCTAAAGATACAAATGTAGTGATCTGAAGGGGCATGTGCACCCAAATGTTTATAGCAGAAATTCCATAATAGCCAAACCATGGAAAGAGCCTAGATGTCCATCAAC